ATTTACTGCCCTTTCATACCAGTTCAATTTCCTTTAATTATTACATCCAAATTTCATGATATTTAATATTTAAAACCAACCTTTATTTCACAGTCGCTTTAGTTTTCACTTTTCTAAAATTATTTTACAGATCCAAAATGTTGATTTGGCCTTAACAAAAGGGGTCTATATGTATTACAGCCGCGAGCCAAAAAAATGATATTTGGTAAAGAATACTCCCCTGTGTGTTATTTAAAAAATGCTGAGCTATTTTCTGTGGATGGAGATGATATGCTGTACAAACACACATGCTGAGTCGCAGCACACCACTCGTCCGTGTTTCTAACTCGCAGCATACGAATACGTATACCCTTCAATAAAAGTGTCAGCACTGTTCAACTAACTCGTATCAGCTATTGGAAAATTCACACACCATTTTGCCTGAGCAATAAAAAAAACGACATGCAAATTATCTTCGGCTATAGCGCAATATTTTCTTTTTTTGCAAATAGACCGGTTATTTCTTCAAAGATTGTCTGTCTATTTTTCTGGTGGTAAATATGAGGGGAGTCAAGGGAGTCCCGCCAGACGTTCATTGGACTGCCTAGGTTGATAATCAAGTCCGGCATAAGGAGGCAATTCTGTTTTTCAGAATAAAAGTTGGGCAATACCGTCACTCACGTAAATATATCAATAAATCAAAACACACAAAACCAGAATCATAATTTCAATGGTCACCGATAGAGGGCAAAAACGCAGAACTCAGAGGGAAAAGCGGGTCAACGGTCAAAAGCGGGTGAGTCTATATTATTCATAATACCATATCCTCGCACGTAGATGACGTAGCACGATAAGTAAGATGTGGTTATTAGCTGAATGCGTCGACATATCGTTTGAAATATTAATCTTTTAGAATATATGTAAATAGGGAAATTTAGTCAACATAACATAAAGAATTGTCGATATCATTTTCCATGGTATAATATAAAAAAACATGCCCCAACTCACATCAAAATACATTGCATTGTACGAGATAGTCTAATATAATGTAATACAATACAATACGTAACTTAATACATTTCAAAAGCTTTTATTATTCTGTAAGATTTATTCAAATATAAATACACATTTATTATTAATATCCTATAGTAATACTAATTCCTATTTACCTCTATGTCATATGTGCTATACATACCATAACGTATGTCAATAGAGACAATCTACTGACTTACACCTTTATACGTTTGGCATAGAGTGACTCGTATATAGGAATAGCCGCCATTATGCTGTCTCGTATCGATTCTGGGAACTCAATATCTTCTTGTTCTTCTTTAGGAATGAAACCTTGGCTTTGCATGACATTTGTGTATGCCTTCATTGCAAGGCATTTCCAGACAGGATCCCAGTGGTCATTGTTGTTCTGTTTCCAGTGCAACATTGAATCCTTAAACTCAATACCAATCTTCTCACACACAGCTGTCAGAATCTCTTTGGGGTGACGTGAAAGTTCATGGGCATCGATAACAACAGGGTCAGGACAAACCTCTTTCGTTATCCAATCATATATCTTACGTAGTTGAATAAAACCACCACCATATGGTACATTCTCACGCTTTCCATCTGTAAAAGCGAGACAAAGTTTTCTGTAGCTCATAATACTGTATCGAGGGTCGCGAATGAGAAAAATAGGTGTATAATGTTTAGGATAAAACTCTTTATCCAAAGGAAATGTCACTGATGTTTCTTTCCACACTGTTATTGGTGTTTCTTGTTGGTCATTCGCAAGCCTTTGTTTAACTTCTGCAAATGTGTATCCTTTCGTTTTGGGTAAGTGGGGCAATATTTCTGGAGGTCCTTCAGTTCCAAACCAATGTCTAGCACCATATAGCTCATGGATTACTGCTGTGTCGTCCCTACTTTTAAAGCTGAATTCCAGAGCAGTTGACAAAGACCTCGGGTTGGTTAGTATTGCGATATGACGCCTATTGGATGCCATGTCCTCGTTCACTAATGGATCTGTAAAGACAAAGATCCGAATTAGGCTAGGTGAGATTAGTCAGTTGGTTAGTGTGTCACCATGCGTGTTATATTATTCAAATAGTCTATTTATATGTTTACAATCTTTCGCCTTTCATGCTTATTAATTTGTTGGCATTTGTTGACATCTTTCTAACAGACTGTGGCTTCAGGCTCGTGTGCAATGGCAATTTCCAATGCCACTTTATGTGAAACATTTCCTTACACAATTAGAAGGACATACAATGGCTAACTTACAGGTTATTGTGTATGCCAGTAGAAATCACAAAATGTGTTTATTCGAAAAGGTTAAACCATAGAAAATGCCCGGATGTGTCCGACCTCTGATATTATCAAAGGAAACACTTGTCTCATTTGATTTTCTCTTTTGAAACATTCAAATGAATATTTCGTTGTGTCCATTGTTGGAAACTTCTGGCCATATACATTGTCTTTATGCTATGATTTATTTGCAGTTATTCCGTGACTTTGCAGTATAGGACAGTTTTCCGACGTAGTGCTTTTGATATAAGTCATAGACTAGTTTTCCAGCTGAAAAGTTTCTCCTTACCGGAGAATATCAGGAAGGCTATGTTTGAGAATGATAATGTCATCAATGCTTTAGAAATAATTGTGATGAAAATATTTAGTTTAATTCTGATCATGATATGGCCTTAATCTGTTGCTGAAAATACCACAATACAGACTACAAGCTCACGATAACATTAAAAATAGGAACTGACTGGCGGAGTACACTGACGTAGACAATACGCCATATAACATAATGGATGCGTATTTACATAATTGAGTAAGTTCATTGAATAATGTATTTTTCAAAAAATTGGAGATGGCACGTTCATGCTTCATTATTTTAAGAAAAACATCTCAATTTTGCCTCCCTGCGATTTTATTAGTGTTGTTACACTCTAGAAATAAAGATTGTCTTTCAATTTCAAAACATGTACATTCCAGAATGAAATGCATCTCATCCTCTATCACATCGTTATTACATTTCTTACACTTTCTATCCTCAAGTTGGATTTTTGGATTTTTCGGCGAGCTAATTTTATTTTTACAGTGTGATCACTTCGTCGATATCTTGATAACATTTTCCGAAGATTGAAATCATCGATGTTGTCTAAATAATCTTTTAATACAAAATCCTTTTTGAATAGCTTGTACATTCTTAGCTTATTTCCCTCCTCATTTTTATCGCTTGATTTATTTAGTTGATCTTTCCAGAATGAAGAATCTTAATGTATAGTTTTGATTTTATTGAATCTGAGAATTGTTTTATGTTATATATTTTCGGGTTGTCAGACTTCAAATCTCAAATATTCTCAACATTTTTTATCCAAGAAGTATTTATTCTCATTGATTCAATTAATACTGACTTAAGGATGTAGTTATTTGGCAGCGTGTGAAGTCTATTTCATTTGTAAAATACATCTTTTAGCTCTTATTGGTATTCTTCCTAATTCCCCGCCCCCTGGTACCTATAGTTGGGGTTACTTTATTTACTCCAAGTATGAACCGGTAAAACGGACTGCATACTTGTTCAAGACTATTAACAACGTTTGAATTTTAACATGCCCGAACTTCAGCTCCACGCAACACAATTGGTGAAATTAATTGATCAAACAACTTCAGACATAACTTAGGTGTCACCAGCTTTTGATGCAACACTGTATGTCTGATAGTAAACAGTGCTTTCAATGCGTTGTGTTTAGCATTTGTTGATTTAGTTTAAATTTTCCGTTAGGTGTGAAGATCACACTAAGGTAACAGAACTCTTTTACTGTTGTAATAGTCTCATTATTCAATATCATATTATTTTTTAATAAATGATTACTTTAATCTCCATTGTGAGCAATAATTTGATAATTTATTTAAACAGTTTTGTAGGCCTTCAGCACTTTCTGATAACAAAACCAAGTCATCAGCATAGAAAATGTCATTCAGTAGTGTAGTCATCAATTAAAACAGAATTATATTTTTGTTCACCAAATACCAAATCATTAATAAAGATATTGAAAAGAGTTGGTGAAAGGTTGCAATCTTGTTTTACTCCACAGTTAGATATAAAATCATCAGTTAAACCTGTTGCAATTGGTAACTTTGTATTTCATATTATTGTACATCGATGATGTTGTAAAAATTTCCTGTAATATTTAAGTTTTGCGGTTTCAAAAATAAACCTTCTCTCCAGACACTATCGAAAGCTTTTTTGAAGTTGATACAACAAGCATATAATTGCCTGGGTTTATTTTTTGATTTTTGTTTTCTGTACAGGGTTTTATCCACTGCTGTCTTTAAGAGAAAATGGCATCTGTGGTTCTACGCTGTTTTCTAAAACCAAAGTGTGTCTAACTCAGTAAATTATTTGATTCGAAATACAAAACTAATCTTTCATTCAGAATACTGGTGAACAATTTGGATAAGCTGTTGGATTTTTCAATTGCTCTGTAATTTCCCAGATCTGACTTATCACCAGATTTATGTAAAGGAACTAAGGAAGTCGACTTCCAGCATTCGGGAAATGTACCACTAACCAAAATAGTATTAAATAATTTGCACAGACTTTGAATAAGTGATTTGTTTCTTATTTTTAGCATTTCAGTTGCAACAGCATCATCACTCCTGGATTTTTATTTTTTTTATTGAATCTAAAATTTCTTTTTCTGTAATTCAGAACTGGGTTGTCCTGTGTTGATTTCTCTTTGGTCCACAGTTTTTGTTTAATTTCAATGTTACTGACATTTTCTAAATTGTACAATTTTTTTTTAAATGACTTAGCCAAGTAGAACTTGAAATGAACTGTTCCAAGTTATTGTTTATTCGGACAGTCAGTTGTTTCAATATTGTAGTAGCCAGTACTCACTATTTTGATTGAAATATCAAGACTTGATATTTCCAATTGATTAATCATCTGACGTTTGAATTCATTTTTCTTATTGGTTATTGAACGTTTATGTATCTTTTCTTTGGCTCTTTGGAAAGCAGTTTTAAGTTTAATAAGTTTTTTTCTTAATTCACTACAATTTGTCAAACCAAGGTTCTCTAATTATGTGGGTCCTTTTTTTGTTAATGCTTTTTTTAAACAAGTGTAAGCTGTATTCATTAATATATTTGTTAACTGATTTGTAAATTCATTCACATTTACTTCTTCTGTATTAATTTCTGTGTTTTTATTAGCTGGCTACATAACATGCCTATGAATTTATTTTTGGACTCCTGATCCTAAATATATTTAGGGGGCAATATATTTAGGGGGTTGTTCTGTACTACTAATTTTAGTTTCTACATGGACAGATAATGTTAAGGCAATAGGACAATAGTCTGAAAGTTAACTCAGATTATCAACTTTAAAGTGACAGACACAATGAAAGAGACTCTTAGAAACTGTACAGTAGTATACCGTGCTGGAACCTGTCGGGTGATGATATGTAAAATTTCCTAATAAATCGCCAATTACTCTGCCATTAACAATTATCGAGTCATTGCTTACACACAGATCTACAAGATGGTTTGTGTTTTTATCTAAATTGTATCTTCTATTGAAATTATCTGCAATGTAGTTTTGAGGGGTTGGCACATGACTATTGGAATCATCAACAATAAAATCAACAATATAATATTCCCAGTTCTACTATTAAAATCTTCCATCGTGATCACGTCGGCCTGATGAGAGAACCTAGCAATTTCTTTTTCCAAAATACTGAAATAATCTTTGTTATAGTGGTAAACAGATTTCTCTGGTGGAATGTAAATACAAGCTAAAAAAATATCTTGTTGTAAGGAAAAGAAGTTCTTGTCCAGCTTGCACCATATAAAAGTCATTATTTTCATAATTAATTTTCGATAACCCCTTTTTAAATTAACAAAATTGCAATTTGGGTGATTTTCTAATTCTATCAGATCTAAAACTACAAAAATTAACACAAAATTGGTACTGTCACCTAACCAGGTTTCCTGAACACACAAAATATCAAAACTTTCAAATGCTGATACAAAATCTATGCATTTTTCCCTAAGCCGTGGATGTTCCAACTACCAATTTTAAGTTTGGATTGCATTATTTCTAAACAGTATGTTAATGCGGATACAACAGGTTGTAATATCGACTAAATGACTTGAAAATCACCAACTACAATCGTTTTTGACGAAACTGGACTGTAGACAATATTAACAACATTTTAGCATGTGTTTTTAACGCCTGAAAAAGAAAAATATAAAATAAGAAAAAGGAAAAAAAAAGAGATATAATATAATAAAATAGCATTTTTCTCGCTTGGACTCAAAGAACATTTAATTTTATTTTCCAGGTCATGGAGGTGGGTCATGGAAATGTTTTCACCATCCACACTCTCTTGTATTAGCACGTCCACCCACCATGGTTTGCGGTATGCATTTTATTGTTTTTTCATCTGCCACGGTCCTTTTCTAAAAGTGTGCTTTGCATCCCCCCTTTGTGTTTTTCAAACCTCGTATAGACGTTGGAACTTACGTTGAAAACATTGTTTAGAGAAACATTGCTTATACCTGTTGCTCAGTCCCCACATATTTCATAAGTCAAAATTATTGCGTTATGGCAGATGATTTCGAAGCAAAGTCATGAGAGTATTTCACCACTATTTCATGATTTACACAGATATTTCTTTAAAACCACTCCAAAAAAATTACATATTTGGCAAGGATGAACCACTAACCTGCTGTATAGCAAAAATCAGGAAGCTGAGTTGACCAGTTTTGCTTAAATCGTGGTTTTAAAATGACAACAAGTCACAACAGAAATTTGCTTGGACTTGGGTGATAAAAATGTACTGGTCTAGAATTTCAAAATAGAATACTGTATATATATACTATAAATACGCTTCTAAACAATAGGGATTATTTCCAGCTCCAGCCAAGCTCCGGTAAAAAAACGCTTTTTCTAGAACTTACAGGTCGATTATGTCGTGCCAAATTGGATGTATGTGACTATGAATATGACAGCAGTGACTGTGTGTAGTATTTATGACAATAAATAGTGTACGAGTTGATATTTGGGCGGATGAAAGTCGAAAAACACGAACTGGGAAAAGGGACGCGCTACTAAGCTTGAATAATTAACTGCTGTCAATCAAAGTCACGTGATGTTGGACCTCTGAAACAGGATGCGTCATCTAATCTCCACAAACATTTACACAGTTTCTAATGCGTTTCTCATAATCACATAGCGAATTCAACAAGGACAATGACAATCGTGTTCCCAAATTTAAAAAGTCGCCACAGAGAGTACGAGCCATAAATACCCCTAGTTGTTTTAATGAAATGAATTTAATATTGTTTACTGTTATTGTCCGATGGTGTGTACGTGGTGTTAAAACATGTTCCAAAAATAACGCAGCCTATGACCGTAAATGGATCGTAAATGTTGTGACTATTTTTATTTTCTCTAAAATCATTTTTTTCAACGTGACTACAAAAGCTAGCATTCACAGTCGTGCTAACATATATATTAGAAGCGTTCAATAAGTAATGCCCCTGACCCATTTTCCATAGCAGGAGATTAATGAAATTTGGCACAGTATGAAACTAGCCAGAGTTATGCATTTCTTCCCATCGTTTGATGCAGCTCTTGACACCGTTTTTGTAGAACACCCCAGGTTGGTCCTCCAGCCACGTCGTAACTTCAGAAACCAATGTTGCATCGTCTAGGAAACGCTTTCCTTTCAAAAACAAGTTCAAGGCTGGAAAGAGATGAAAGTCAGAGGATGCAAGGTCAGGAGAGTAAGGAGGATGGGGGAGGATTTCATAGCCACACGGCCATGCTTCTGATCGGCGCGTTGTCCTGAATGAGGAGGATACCGTTGCTAATCTTGCCCGGTCTCTTTATTTTGATAGCTTCTCTCAATTTCATCAAAAATGAAGCGTAATGATAGGCTCCTGTAATTGTGGTACACTTTGCCAAATTGCCAGGAAATCTGTCATCACTACTCCGTCCTGGTCCCAGAAAACTGTGAGCATAACCTTGCCGGCAGAGGGCTGTACCCTTGCCTTATTTGGAGGTGATGAGTCCAAGTGCTTCCACAGTGCATTGACTTGGCTTTGGTCTCTGGATCATAGTGATGGACCAAAGTTTCATCAGTCTTTTGAAAATCTTTGACTCATCTTCTTGGCATATCTCCAAATTCATCCTCGAGCACTCGATACGTTCTTGCTTCTGGAAAGGTGTGAGCAACCTGGGAATCCATCTGGCAGACACCTTATGCATATGCATATGGTTATAAATGATAGTTTTCACGGACTCTGTATTAATCTTGACCTCTTGAGCTATTTGGCTAACAGTAGTGGGTCGATCCTCCAAAATGGCTCAGATCAGGGACGACCAGGTCTGGGAGCTGTTTCCACAGTCTTCCGGCCATGTTTGAATTCAGATGCCAGCGTTTTACAAGGGCATGTGATGGGGCATCATCACCATAAGTTTCTTCAGTTCATCAAAAGTCTCCTTTGGTGTGCATCCTTTCAAATACAAAAACCGGATCATGGCGGGGCACTCAACTGGCTCCATTTCACACCTGACTCAGTTTAAACACCTGTAAATCAGAAACCACAATTAGTTCAGAGCTGTTTTTGCAACATAGAGATGTAAATCATTACACATTCAAATTTCATCTAGATAAGACAACTGGAAGTGGGTCAGGGGCATTACTTATTGAACGCCCCTCGTATAGCCGTTCTGTTTCCGTTACAAGTGGCTGTAGTCGGTCAACGACTTTTAGCGACAGAGAAACAGAAGCTTCAAACAATTTTTAAAAATAGAGAACAACATCATTGGTAATCATCAACTTATGCTTGCGTTCAATGTATCGATCGTCGTTCCAAACGATTCTACATCCAAACATTTTGATGTGTCATTATCATGCTTTACAATAGAAAGGAAATTTCACTGCTATTCCCACGTATTAGTAGCAGCACTCATGAGAGTGAAAGTGCGAGCGCCATGCAGCGAAAATATTTTTTGTTATCGTTGACCGCAGCATGACATCACTCTAAGCGTAAGTACATCATGGTCATCGCTGTGGCATCGTAGTTACGACACAGTCCCGTGAGGGACTGTGATAGAGGAACTGTGGATACGAGGATGGCAAATGACATGAAACGGTAAATTCGCAGTTCAGACGAATGCGTATTGTTGATGTCGCATACGACTTATTTACCACTTCCGTGTCACTGAGAATGTTCTAGAACCGTACTGTGTCTGGGTGGGATATTCTAGATTTTTTTAGAAACTGGTTGAATAGGTAATAGAACACTGTAGGAGGCAATAGAAGGCAATGGAACATTCTAGAAATGTGTAGTAAGTGTCAGACTCATTATGTATTCTGATGTAATGGTCTATTTATAGACAGTGGGGGTATATATAGGCATGGAAGGTCCGTTAATACCTTCCATGATATAGGGGAGTTGTTCAGCACTGAGTTCAGATCGGAGATCTCGTTGAATGGTATTGGAGTTTAAGTATCTAGTTATTGGAGTACCCAAGGTTGGAGTAGTGGAGTTTTACCGCGTTATTGTACTTGATGTTTGCAGAGTATAATAATACCAGTACCAGTTGAAACCTCATCTGTTGGCTCCGTGTTCGTATTTTATCATCGACGCCAGGGAAGTTTTTCTGTTACTGTTGCCATTTTGGTATTTGAACCATCACACCTGTACTATACCAATTACGGTAATATTACGTTGCGTGTGACAGTTGATATAAGCAAGAATCAATGACACACCACTTCATAACACGTCCCTTATTAACTGCGTTATTAGTTATGTTGTTACGGGATGCCTATGCAGCTCAGGTTAATGCATTATAGAGGCAAGCCTGACTGGGCCGTTACACACATCGATGTTTACGGAGATAGTGTTATCAGCTTGTAAATAAACTACGAGTTTTTGTAAACATAGGCTATGCAAGTGATTAACAACACTCATTAGCATAGCCATACCTCCAATTCACACTTGCCCGGGGCTTTGGCTGGCAAACTAGGATTGCGCTACGTCGAATCTTGTGTAGTTACAGGGCACACTGCCTTAAACCCATATTTCAGACCACTGCCCTATCTCACCGTTTCCTGTAAATGCTGGAAAGCGAAATAACGAAATGGCGAAATAGCAAAATAATAAATATTTACTCTAAAGGTCATTGTGTTGATGTAATATAAGCAAAACACTGGTCACGGCGAATTATTCAAATAGACGACTCTCAGAAAATACGACCAGAGTCCAGAACTTCAGAAGGATATTAAGCAATTTAAGACCATATCGAAAGCACTAACGTAAAAAAAACACTGCAGTAAAAAGTCAAGAATGCCAACCGATTGTGTCCATCGACCGACGTTGGCGGCGCCACAGTATTCCGAAAGGCATAACAGGACAGCGAAAACACCGTGAAATGAAACTTTGTGTGTCTGTGTGTGTGTTTTGTAAATTTTGATGGCTATGAAGAAATCAATTCACCCTAATTACCCAAAGTTCATTTGAAATAAACCCAAATTTCTTCTTTACATATATGATTCTATTCTAGCAACACTTGCTAGAAACTGGACTTGCTCTCTTCCCAACATTATTTTATGTGATTTAATGACACATTCGCTATCCTTGTGATTAATTGTGTAAATACAGTTAGTACTTTGATGTTTGACAAGTTTTTAGTTATTTGTTATCTTAATTCGCTCTTGTCGTGTTGGTTCAGCGCTAAAATGACGTATCTGGAGACCTGCATGACAATGTATTGTAGCAATAGTCTTGATATTTGGTAAAGAATGCTCCCCTATTATGTGTTATATTAATAAAATCCTGAGCTATTTTCTGTAGATGGAGATGATATGCTGTACATGGCAATTAAAAAAATACTGTATATAGATGAGGGTGGGCAAGGGGGTTACAGAAAATAAAAAAAGGCATTTTACATTTTTACAAGAAATAAAATGAAATATCCATTTACAGTAAAAAACGAGTTTGTTTACGTATTACAGGTAGAACAAATTCCTAATTACTAGTACATTTTACAATTTTGTCAATATATTTGATAATTTTCCGGTCAACGCGTTCTGATGTGACAAATCTTCTGGGCTTGTGTGACGCACATGCGACCCAGACTAGGAACTTGAATTAATGTCGAACGTTAACGTGCGATATTATAACCAGTGTGATATACTTCCCGGTGTTCTACTAAGGACAATGTTTGCCGAGGACACTTGCACAACGCATTAAATAAAGTGTAGATAATATTGCGTACATATTTGTGAACATCGTGTTAACTTCGAACATAAATGGCGCATTACTTTAGCAAATAAGCGTACAAATTAAATATGCATATGATCATGACACGTATAATCTGTACATGTACACAGAAGATAAAGGAGGGCTCTTTTGACAAGTTATTAGAATATTTTGTTGACAAAATAACCATCAATTATAACAAGACTTGAATACTAATAATTTTTAGCTCCACTGCCATCAAATAGAACACAGCAACCGAGCTGATCTTGTTACTGATTAACTGTCTTTCGTCCTACAACAATTGCATTCGCGTCTTCCTTTTCTTGAAAACCAGTAGCCTGAGTGTTTTGATGTTTAGTGTACTACCTTGGGTTGGTCTCTCTCTCAGATTTTGTGTTTTTGTCAAAACTGCTATTTCCGACGATTTCTTGAAAACTACCAGCTCAATTGATTCGATAATATTATGTAGGTATCTTAGGTTAATCTTTGTTGGGGATGGTGTTTGCTTGTTGAACTTCCACACATACAAGATACGCACAGAGGTGCTCGTGATATTGGTAGCCGTTGTTGTATTTTGTTTATAAATGTGCTATTTGTATTTACTGATAGTTTTTGCAATAGAACCTTTAGTATAAGTATTTCAGAGAATCCCGTGACTTCCAACAACAGATGATTACAATAAGATAATTGTAATATGTATGAAATATACGGTGGGCGGGAGTCGGCCACCATTTGCCATCCCGGAAATAAGTTCGACCACACATATGTTTAATATTTTAATGATTGAGTTCTTGCAGTTATATACATATATTTAGATTTAATTATTGATTTTAAATATATTTACTAACAGCTTGTATGTTGCAAGCACTACAGATTTTTTTGGCATTTACATGTAGTTTTAACTCATACGCGCATTTATATTTATTTACCAATAACTCACACCTTACAAGTACGGCGTATTTACATTTATATATTAACTCGTTGCGCACGTTGCAAGCATGGTGTATTTATTTTTATTTAATATAAAATACAATTATAAGTATGAACAACTGATAAAATTACAAAATGTAATTACGATGTGTTCAGCAATTATACATACATAACCAATACTAATTGGTGCGTCTGTTTATGTAAACCTTTAAAAATATTTATTTTTAAAATTCAATATCCAACGTATAGACTGCAATTTAAACTAGTCTTGGAAAGGTATATAATTGTCGAAATACAAGAGAGTGAATAAACATTTATTAATTTATCATATCGGGCAAATTTATTTCAAATACATTGTACTTCTGACGTATTGGTAAATAAATATAAATACGCCGTACTTACAATGTACGAGTTATTAGTATAAATAAAATAAATAATTTAAATATGAATATATAGAACTGCAAGGGTTCAGTCAACAAGATAAAACATGTGTGTGTCCGAAACTCCCTACATTGGAGATATACGTAACAACTTAGCCATCTGCCGTCGATGCATCAACAGCAGAACGTTTATTTTCATCGAACAATGCACATTATTTACGAGAATCCACTACACCGCGAAGAAAATTCAGAACTCAACTGTGCATGTGCATTGACTTCACCGGGAAGTTTTATCACACGGAAGATTTTTCGCATGAAACCGGGCTTTAAAATAGTAATTAAAAGTTTGTAATTTCGTACGAATTACGTCATTTCATATGAAAAATGCTTTATACGCTTACACTGAAAAAATAAGATCTTTGTACGAATTACGGAAGAATAGCTGATTACGTTTTACACCTTGCCCACATGGCTACGAAATTGCGTTATTTATTTATTTAAATTACATTATTACGAAAATAAAAATTACAGCTTACGAAAATACCCCTTGCCGACTATCATAGATGTATTGTATTGACCCGGGGTATTGACTTTTCCTTTAATGACAGTCTGAATGAATCTTGCAATTTCTAAATGTAATTTTGTAACTTGTATGCATTTTTTATCTTTTACTGTTAATCACTTTTCATTGTTCTTTAGTTCTAGTGACCTTACTGTTGTACTTTCCAAAGCCAGTGTTGTGTCGATAAATAACGCCGTAAATTGATAGACCCATGTCACCCTCCAATCTACAGAAATCATCAACCCCCGTGTGTAAAATAGAAAAGCCTTAGTTCCGCTTCCGGTTAACTCTGGTCAAGATGGCGACAAGCGTCAAGTTCGCATGTCTGCTTTCTGTTATTGACGAAAATGAGTTAGAAGCACTGCCACAAGAAATTCGAAGTAAATTGGAAGACACAATCAGTTCCAAAGAGTCTGCTATTGAAAAATCCAAGGCCGAGAATGAACGACTGAAAGTAAACGCAGGTAACGAACGTACAACTTTATCCGCGATGTCATTTATTAAAATGGCGGCGCCCTTGTGACACATGCCTAATATTGGCAGTTGTCAAGATGAAAATAACAATATACGCTATACACTCTCAAAATATCTTCATCTGATATATTTATTGTTGATAAACATTATATTTGCATTTCAATCAGGAAATTCGCATTTAAAATATAGCTTGTTTTTATTTAATAACAACGATCTAATTGTCTCTACATGTATGCAAAGGGATTCTTATAGTGCCTGCTACTTTCTCGCTCAAAATTATTTTGTGACCAGTGTTCATGGAACACATTAGTTTGATTATTTTATTGGTACATCAGTATCATTATTTTGGAAAGAGTTCTTTTTGTACCCCCCATCCCTAACCCTACCCCTACCCTCCAGCACTCCCCATTTAATTGTACATTCCCCTCCTAAGGACATCTATAGTTATCTAGAGGGGGCATATACAAATGAATTGGGTAACTGGGAGTGAGTGTTAGGGTTAGGGTTAGGGAGGGGGGTACAAAAGGAACTCTTGCCATTATTTTTAATGTTGTTAAATACAAAATAAATTTTTAAAGTGAGAAAATGTGTGTTCAAACTCTGCGCCTATTTGATTTTTATGTATTTTAAAATGAGGCTTCCTCATTCACTTGGGGCTGAAAATGAATAAATACTATTTTGTTTTTCATACGCTTATACGCATATAAATGAACAAGTTATGAAACATTGTACCTAGTGAAATCAACACCATGTCGGTTTCAAATGTTGATTCCTTTTACCTTCTTAAAATGCGAAACAAAATGTTCAGAGGGGATGGGGTGTTATGATAATAACCATTGTTCATAATCGCTCTTGGTTTTATTCAAAACTGCAAATCCTGCATTTTCTGATGATATCCGACGACTTCATGAATGAAAATGACCAGCAGCCAGAATCAAGAAGGATTCGCATAATTCTGGGTAAATCAAGTGTGCAGACTCATTTTCAGCCAATCAGGCGTGCCGTAACAACGAGTATTTTCTTGATTTACGCAATAATGTATATAAGGAACATTTCTTTTTCAATTTTCTCGTCTTTGACTTAATTGTTTCGCATGTACTTGGTTCCTGAGGAAGAGAGGACCGTAGAGAACATATATTATCAAGTTTTTCGTGATGAAGTCGATTGAAGTGTCAACATCTATTACCACAGAACTCTACATGTCTAGATGTTTTCCAAATTTAACAAATCGAGTTTGATGTCAAACTGCAGTTTTTGCAAATGTTATTGAAAACCGACTCAATGTTGTGTTTTTATTTGGGTACAAAATGTAGGAAATTAAAAGGATCAATTTTCAGTGTCCGTACCAAATTTCATTGAGAAACCTGGGCACCTGGAATGAAAAGATTTCACAAAAATACTTTGCTTAGAGGGTACGCTGGATTGGACCATTGCAATATTTTAGTAATACTTGACTTTTTCACCACCAGACTTTCCTGCTCCAATTTTCTCTCCACTTTTTTCTTGCATTCTTCAATATTTCTAGAAATGAACTCTAATTTTGGAGCCAACAGACAAAATTTTAGTCAATTTTCATTTTTTACTCAAAAAAATTTGGCTATTTTTGTTCCAATCTTCTGAAGGAAGGTGCAGACTATAAACGGGACTATTTTGTGAATTTGTGATGAAGAGGGAAGCTGGTGGTGGAAAGGCTAAACAATGTACAGAGTATAGCCACCATTAAACCTCTCTGCTCTGACTGGTCTGTTACTGATATCACCTCCAGCTGACACTATATCATCTGATTCTGTATATGAAAGATATTTACTTTGTTTACAACATGTTGTCACTCTCTGTTTAACATTTGCAGAACAACAGTATTTTGAATTGGAGAAGCAGTTGATATCTTGCAGTGCCAAATTGGAGACCATCAACTCTGAGAGAAACGAGCTGAAAACTGAAAATACTGATCTTGGTAGGTATTTACATTGCTCACTGGTAATGTAGTACTTGAATCGTGATCGATAGTCTCTAGTTTAAATCTTATCGATGGGAATTTTAACAATGATTTTATTATGGCAACTGTTGATAGTTAAAATCCTATATATCACTAGAATGTCATCTACATTTCCCCCAACTTACATTTCCTGAGGCCACTAATCTCACTAGTTGAGAAAATTGTATTGTATTTATTATTATTATTATTATACTGTAAAATACTTATTTCACTTGGAATTAATTTTCGTTGAAGGAATGATTCAGTGAAAATAAAATCTAGTGAATATACCTTTTTTCCTATGTTTTTCATTCAACTCATCAAAAATCGGTGAAAGTAAATTCCATACAAAAAAACAAAAAAGTATATTCAGTAAAAATTAATTTCTGCTAAAATAAAGTATTTTACAGTATATTATTTACTGATTTGCTGTTCTGATATAGTAATATTGATATTTATATGTATGATACAGCTTTTATCATAGACAGCATATTTTTATTTATTTCAAATAAAGTGTTTGTGCAATATACATGTATGTGCCCAAATGATATATGTAAGGTAAGTAATTGAATCTGTCATGACTGAGTGTAGCTTTATCTTATTTATAACATCTAATAGTTTTCATAGAAACGTTTTTACATTTTGGTTCAAGCTAATGATTCTCTTGATGTTAATTTTCAGAAACCAAGTACAAGTTGGCACAGGAACGTCTGAGGGAGCTTGAAGATAACAAAGAGGGTAGTTTGTCCACTCAGGTAAAGAGACATTAGCAGCATTTCGATGCTACCTCAGATTATTGTCCATGTGCCATCCTCATCGTCCTCATTTGCGTCTTTGTTTACCAGTCTAATCTATTCTGTCTTGTTTTGACTTCTCTCAGAATTTATACGTGTCTGGGACTTCTCGTTTTTTTGACAGACTCCTGACGTTTGGCAGCTACGAGGACGTTTTGCTCCCAATTTGTTTTATTTTTACGCTTCACTGAGCCATACTCATTGCATTAATTGGACCATAAAAAAATTGTATTTTAGGAGATAGCTGGGGGAAAAAATAATAAAGTGTGTTTTTATTCAGTGGTTTTACATAATTTAAAACATACAATATGGGAAAAATGGAAACACAAAAAGCCAGGGGTATCACTAGTATTCATTATCTGAGTGGATTTTATAGCTTCTGAATGTAGCCTGTTAGGAAGTTGAGTTTCTAGATATTATGTGAGCAAAAATTCAGAAGGCAAATTCTGAGAGGGACCCAACCACATATACTAAAAGGATCATAATGCAACTTAAACCGGTCATCAATGAACTCTGTTGGACTGTTTTAAGGGAGGTGATGGATCGATTTCCGGAGACCACTGTTCACTCAGCAGTATAAATTTGTGTACAGTCTGCCCTGCCTTCCTTATATGCTGTATTAGGTTTGGGAAACTGGTTTGCACACATGCACTTGATATTAGCATCTAAGACAAAAAAAGTCAGATGAGACAGCAGTGACTTTAATGTCTGGAAATTTAGCCTGGCACAAAGATATTTAAAAAAACAAACTTTTGTTTTTGTTTTCCAGCTACAATTAAGCCGAACTAATGAACAGCTCGAGACTGACAAACGCGATCTTGTTGAATTGGTAGAAAAGAAGAATCAGGAGATTGAAAGATTGAATGGTAATGACATATTAAATTATCTTGGTGGTTCTACTGTTAAAAACTTAATTTCTGCGTGGATAAATGTGCGCTGTAAAAGCATTTTGGTTGTGTTTCATGAAGTTAATTTTCGCTGTTTTTTGATGAGTTGAATTTAAATTACAGGAAAAAATTATTTTCGCTGAATTTAATTTTCACTGATTTATCCTTTCAGTGAAATACATTTGAAACAAAAATTAAGTTTTTCACAGTATGCTATGAATATATGGGATGTATAACAAATAGAATGACGAATTAATGCGTTTGTGGTTAAATTTGCCGAGCATGTTATCCAAATTTGATTTCCTCAAATATTTCTCATTTTAGTAACACTCTACAAAAAATAAGTTTAAATTATTGATGGAAATAATACTCATATGTTTTTATAAAAAAAAACACAGACAACATATAGCCCGGACTGTGCTATATATCTTTTATTATTATTATTCTGTATTATAAAATGTATTTATAAAACTTTTTTTTCAAGATGAATGGCATGATCTTTCTGAAAAGCTTGGAGCGTCAAATACAGCTAAAGTTCAGGCCCAGGCCAAATTAGATGAACTATTGGGCGAAGATGTCACAGCTAAGGTAAGTAAAATGTTTGTTCAGACTTACCCTGCATAGTAAAATTAACAAACAGTCGCTGAAAAATACTTGACTAGTTGAGTTTTTAGAGTATAGTGGTATTTCAAAATAATATACATGGTATTTCAAATATAATAAAATGTACATAACATTTAGTATGTATTTTGCATATTCATTAATTAATTAACATATCAATAATCTCTTCTACTGAAAGTTGCCAAGCACAGTCAATACACTGCTTTAATTAAAAGGTATTATCAGTGAAAACAGTTGGGAGATACAATCTGGGTGCTTCTTTTGTTCTTGACTTGAATTAGTGTTGAACCATTCTCCTAAAAAATGACAGAACTATCAGTAATTTTTAAATAAATTTGTAGTGGGTAGAAATGAGAGTTTATACGGCAGTCTAGGGGCAGGAAAAACCTGTATCTGTTCCTTGTAAGATAAATTAAGATGAATTTTATGGAGATTAGCAAACCTTGCACTGCCTCTTTTGGTATGTGCATCACCTGTCCACAAGCAAGTTTTTCATTTGCTTATCCCAGCTTAAATCTGCTTGTCTGAGACAGGTGTACAAGCCTTCATTTTGATAATGCAGATCCCAATATGATATTGGACACATCTACATAAATGAATTTTGAGAAATTCTTCAATCTTGATTACTGCTATAATTAACACAATTTTATTTCATATCGTCCATGTTAAGTACCGCGAAAAGAGACTTGAGCAAGAGAAGGACTTGTTATCACAACAGAATGACTGGATGAGTAAAGAACTGAAAGAAAAAACTAACGAGTTACTTGCCTTCAAGAGAACTAAGGTAAGAGTATTATCCAGTATTATTTTACATCATTTTAATAGTTGCATCTGTTCTTATATTGGCATTGGTTGCTTTACTGAATAATATACGACTTGCTAAGTAAATACTGTAAATGCTTCTAATTACACGATAAAGATTTTTCCAAATTCCGCAAGTCTGGGGCAAATCATTTGTAAAGTAATTTTTGTGAATGCCCTCAACAAATTGGTATTTTATCGATGCATTTCACCGTACAGTTAATCAGATACACCATGTGTTATGTTTGATATACATGTATTAGATGTTCTATGCATTATATCGCATATATCTTGCACAATGAAACTAAAACCAGATTAAGTTTATATTCTAGTTATTTATTAATTGTCCCTTGCCCTATTGTCTACTATTTGTGTTGAGTGTTGTTTATTTCTTCGAGTACTTTTAGATTATTAGAATTAAACGCTGTTTGTAAATTATTTCCTCTACAATTTGCGAAGGTTTTTGCCAAATAAACTTTGTCTATTATTTCATCCCTAGTCTGCTGAGATTCTTGAACTCAAAACAACGCTTGAAACTCAAAGTGAAGAATTAAAACATTCACAAGAAGTTTTTGAGACAGTGAAAAAAACAAACGAGATACAAAGTTCCAGGATAGAAGCATTGATACAAAAAGTTAAAGATGTAAGTTGTCCCATAGCTCAGTTTGCTCATTTGACAGAAAGCATAACTGATAGTTAAAGTACAACTGTTGTCAATATCCTCTTTGGGATTGAGGTTCTAGTAGACTTGTCATTTACTAGAACCAAGACTGTCGGCGTCTGAGTTGCTATACTTTAACGAATACTGTGAATTTCGGTGTTGTCATAGTGAATGTGTTGTCATAGTGAATGTGTTGTCATAGTGAATGTGTGTCGCATAACTTCTTTTGTATAGAAGTACAATGGGATAATGACCTGTAAAAATCACACTTGATGCATGTACATTTCATAGTAAACTGCATGTTTCTTTCAGCCACAAATTACAATGTGACCATGCTTCTACACAATTCTTCGATCTGAAAACGGCTGGTTTGAATCTATGGTGTTGCTGTTTGAGAAATGTACAATTTTTAAATATTTAAAATTACTAGAAACCATATTTAAACTTAGAAAATTGTTTCTATTATTTCTTAGGTGCATGATGCGGCCGCACAAAATGAAGAACAGTCACGCAATGAATTAGCAGCACAGACTAAGCTAACAGGGCTGTACAAGGTAGGGTATCAGGGTGCTGTCTAAACCAAATGAAAGTTGAAGAAATTAAAAGTGTTTGTTTTTGACAGGGTTGAGTTTTTGGCTTCAACTTAGCATGTTCTGAATATTTAGTCTCCGTTCAGACGCAGTCCAAAAACAGGGACTTATTGATTGACCTCTGTGCGTGCCTGGACCAATTACATTCAAACTTAAAACATACATCATACATAATATTATACATATGCGCATACATTTGTTTCACAATCTGATTCATGATGGCCGAATGGCGGCCATTTTTGTACTGAAATAAGCATTTCTGCTGTTTACAGATGGATTTTGTTCAAACTTGGTACATACATTGGACATTATGGGACCTTGATGCACGTCAGTTTGTTTTTCAGATCAGATTCAAAATGGCTGACTGGCGGCCATTTGGTTTTTAATTAATGAATACAATTCTAGAGCCATATCTGACATGCTTTGACTGATTACTATAGAATACTTTATTTTCGCTTGGAATTTATTTTCGCTATTTTCGCTGAAGGAATGATTCCGTGAAAATAAAATCCAGCGAATATACTTTTTTTCCTATATTTCATATTCAACTCATCAATAATCAGTGAAAATAAATTCCATACAAAACACCCGAAAAGCCTTTTCAGCGAAAATAAAGTATTCCACAGTATGTTCAAATTTTATATATTCATTATACATCATGTCATAAATACAGATGTATTCAAAATGGTCGACCGATGGCCATTTTGTTTTAATTGTTGATGTTCTTGAGTAACATCTCTCAATATGGACAAGTACTTTTTTGATGATCAGATACAAGATGACTGAATGTCAACCATTTTAATGTTAAACTAATCATCATAATCATATTCCCGACATGGTTATATTCCAGCTATATTACTATAAACAAAACTATATATCTTAAATTTGATAACTAAC